TGGGTTTTTAGTACAGCATTGTATGGAATAACCAGCGCTGCGGATGTGCTCATACGTGTCTAATAAGATCTCCATTAAAAGGAAAGCATGAATGGAGCACTTTAACGTGCTGAAATAATCCACAATCCAGTTTCTGTTAACTTTCTTATAGCTTCATTGATGTATTTTAATGAATAAAGCTACCTGGCCGGGACCACTAAACTAAATACCCCACAAGCCATTGCTAAGTAGGCATTTGTGCTACATTCTCTTTAGAATCACCGAGGGGCCAGCATTGGTTTATAATACTCTCAGGGATAACCCACATTGAAAGTCGAAATAGCCAAACTATCCTCTAAGCCAGCTGTGCTTTCAGCTCAGGTACTCTGCCCATTTAGGGACACTATAGTCACCAAAACAACTTTAGCTTAAGAAAGCACTTTTGGTGTATAAATCGTGTCCCTGCAGGGTCACTTTGTTTATTCAACCATAGGCACACCTCCCTGCTTATAACATGCACAGCCTTTCTAAACACTTCCTGAAAAGTGAAATCTAATGTTTATTCATCCTTTATTGCACCGTCTGTTTAATTTATAAATACCTACCTCATGGCTAGACCTTCCTATGTGTGATTAAAATTCAATTTAAAAAGCAGGAGATAAAAACCTCTAAAGTAAGTTAACTTCTGATTGGAAATGAAACCTTCTTTTTTTATGCAAGATGTATGAGACTTCCAATGCTGCTTTATGAAGCTAAAGTTGCGTTGATGAGTATAGTGTCCCTTTAAATTTGAAATTCACATTGAATTTTCACTTTAGTAACTAAAGCCTTCTGTCTAGTGATGTCCCGAACGGTTTGCGAATGGTTCGCCGCGGACTCATCATTGAGTAAACTTTGACCCTGTACCTCACAGTCAGCAGGCACATTCCAGCCAATCAGCAGCAGACCCTCCCTCCCAGACCCTACCACCTCCTGGACCCTACCACCTCCTGGACAGCTCACTAAGAATGCAGCTTCAAAATGGATGCTGTCCAGGAGGTGGGACGGTCTGGGAGGGAGGGTCTGCTGCTGATTGGCTGGAATGTGTCTGCTGACTGTGAGGTACAGGGTCAAAGTTTACTCAATGATGAGTCCGTGGCGAACCGTTTGTGGCGAACCGTTCGCAAACCATTTGGCGAACCGTTCGGGACATCACTACTTCTGTCATTTCCTGTTATGTGGAAAAACTGCACATTTGCAGCAAAATGGGATAGTTCAGAAGTATGTTTTTTGCCTTTTTGCCTTTTTGCCTTTCTATTTAATATATTTTCTCTATAATGCATTAAAAGCAGCCAGTTATAGCAGAATAACTCCACTTATGTCATCCCACCCTAAGGAAACTCTCTCTTTACAATGAGTTAATTAACAGCAACATATATATTTATTTGTGAATGTTGGTGCTCTTTCCATCTGTACAGCGCTGCGGAATATGTTGGTGTTTTATAAATAAAATAATAATCCTAGAGACTTGATTAATAAATCGTGTCTAGGTATTATTTACTAAGTGTGCTAGCTGTTATTTGAAGAAATGTCTTATTATATTTTTGTTTTGTAAACTAATCAGAGGTGTATTAACGCAATGTGTGGTTTTTTGAGTCAGGGACGGATGCATTAAATTTGTTAAAATACTGACGTGGGCTGGTAATAGTCAGCGATCAGCGCGGCTCTCATTGGACCCACCATGCCTCAGCCAATCTGGGGCTCCACATTACCATCATTAACCAATGCAGAGAAAGGGAATTGTGGGATATGCAATCCAACTGAATGCTGTTCAGTGCACAGCAAACCTAAATAAGCAAAACGTGTGAACTGCTAGGAAATTGCACATTTTAGACCTAAAAGGCAAATTATAAAAATAACTGATTTCGTTTTTCATTTGGGCTATTGTGGCCTAAAATATGTGAAAATTTTAAATTGTTTTTGATATTCAAATTTTAGACCACAATAGACCAAATGAAAACAATCAGCTATGTAATTATTTTATACTGACCCAATGAATATTACAGTCTCTTTAAATAAAACTAGACAACTTTACATAAAGACTGATTATTAGAAGGATGGACGGATAGGCAGATAGACAGACAGATTGCCTTGTTTAACTGTATTTTTATAACCGATACAGCGCACTGCAGTGGTTATGGTGCCAGGAGTGGCCCAGTACTCCCCCACTGTTTGCGCACTGTTCCCTGCCTCTCCTGTTCGATACATTGTCTGAGAGAGTCGGTTCACCGCATTCGGCCAATGAGATACGACTTGCGCCAATAGCCACTACGATGCTCGATAGTAGTTATGGTGCTTGGAGTGTTCCTTTTAAGGGCTTACTTTGGGATTTATTCACGTAACAGTGACAAGCTGTGAATAAAAAACCACACTGCAAAATATAGAACAAACCAGCTGATTTGAAACATGTTTCCAGCTCAGCTGTAGTCACAGCTTGGCTATTTTACACAAACGTTTTAAATTATCCTTCCTCTCACTGCCCCATCCCTCCTCTCACTGCCCCATGCCTCTTCTCACTGCCCCATTCTTCCTCCCACAGTGCCTCCTCTCACTGCCACGTGCCTCCTCTCACTGCCCCATGCCTCCTCTCACTGCCCCGTGCCTCCTCTCACTGCCACATTCTTCCTCCCACAGCGCCTCCTCTAACTGCCACGCACCTCCTCTCACTGTCCCATACCACCTCTCACTGCCCCGTGCCTCCTCTCACCGCCCCGTGCCTGCTCCCACCGCCCCGTGCCTCCTCTTACTGCCTGTGCCTCCTCCCACTGCCCCGTGCCTCCTCTCACTGCCACATACCTCCTCTCACTGCCCTGTCCCTCCTGTCACTGCCCCGTCCCTCTTCTAACTGCCCCGTGCCTCCTCTCACAGCCAGGTACCTCCTCGCACAGTGACTCCTCTGTTTAATTCTGTGTTCAGGTGTGTTAGTATACTGACATTACTAATGATTGTGTTAACCTCCAGCTTTGTGTGAGTAACACTTGATTAGGTTATCTTCTTACATTCCTATGGCATTGTTCATACAAATAGAAAACCCTTAACTCTCTCCCAAGTTATCAGACAATTCACTAATTATACATGGATGTAAAACATAGCACACAAGCACGACTTTTCGCTAGACCGGGAATTCATGGAGAATTGAAGGGAATTACAGATTTAAAAACTACCAAACTCCCACATTAGCCGGGCTCACATTAACTGCGTCATTCCCTCGTCAATTCTCTATAATTATCAGTTCAGTCAAAAACCCCAAACAGGGCACTTCTCTAAAGTAAAGCTGAGATTCAAATTTAAGGTCAAAACAGCCAAACTGGAAAGATTCTCTAGATCAATTATTTCAGCTGTGTTTTTGTCTGTATATGAAATTTACTTTGATTTCTCATTTTAATAAAATCATCCTGTGAGTGTCTGCTTGTCCTAAAATGAGCTGAATGGCAGGTCCCTAGTGACGAGACGCAGAGTTACTAAATACTTTATTTGGGTATTTACAATTGGGCAAACTAGATGGGCCGAATGGTTCTTATCTGCTGACACATTCTATGTTTCTATGTTTACTCATACAGGGGCTTAGGGCACTCATAGGATAATATAATAACATCATTCATTGTTAGGATCTGCCAGAGCAATATGAGTACAAATCTATACAATAAATCCATAGGAGAACCTATATTGCTGTGCTCGGCACACTGCCCCCTAGTGGGGTACAGCTATTATCAGTCACCACTAGCAAGCTCTGTCCATGGTGCTGACTGAAGTGGTGGGACAGGCAAGTCCCCATCACTCCCATCACGCATCATCAATGAATCCAAGCCTTCCAATAGCAAGTTTTGGGAGAGCTGTGTTTCATAGGGTGGAATGCCATTTTTCTTGGTTAAAAATAATTTTCATTGCCCACGAACTGCAGTAATTTGAGAGCAGCAGAAGCGCAATTTGTGTGTTGTTTTGCAGGACACCCACCCTGGCTGTGATGGACCTGTATTTGGTTATAATTCTGGTGTCAGTAGTATTTTAATCCTGCAGTTTCAAGTACTGCCATAGGGGGCGACAGCCACCTGGAGCCTGAAACAGCTGTCACTCATTGTGTTCTCCATGCCTTGCAATCTGTGACAGTTCAAACAGCGATACGTTAATTCATTCTGACGTTCTCCTTGCACGTTCTTCTCAAGGCTGCCCCTTTACCTGGTCAAGGTATTCCCTCTCTCTCAGAGTAAATGGCACTCCAAATTGGTAAATGGCACTCCAAATTCCACATTGTAGCCAATGGGTTTCCAGTTCACTGAGATCCAGTATGGAAGAAAATTCAGTTTACGGAGTTTAATGTGGATATGTAAGCAGAGAAGTACAAACTGAGTGGAGTTGAGGGATTTTCTATTTTGGAGTGTTTTGTTTAGAAATATTCTCCTCTGTTCGTGAGATGCCTTCAGACCATTATCAGTTATATGGTGCAATGGCTGATTACCTTTTTTTTTTGTATAATGCTGGAGGTCGGTAGTGTATCAGGCAATCATTACTATGTGATACATGTTGTGTCAGAGGGGGAGTATAGCAGCAGTTTACGGCCTATATTAGGCCTATAGTTCATGTGACAAGCTGAGTGAGTGTGGATCAGCAACTTGGGCCATGCCAGGACACAAGACGTTTCTCTGCCTCTCAAGGTTCTTTTTTTCTGGAGGCTCTGTTTCTCTGTCTGTGCTGTTTCTGTTTGTGTCCGTGGTGGGTCTTTTTCTATGTCTCTCTCTGCCTGTTCTGTGTTCCTGTATTTAAAGGTTCTATAATTCTGTCTCTAGAGGTTCTTTCTCTCTGTCTCTGCAGCTTGTTCTTTCTCTCTTTCTCTGAAAGTTTACTTTGTCTCTTTCTCTCAAGATGCAATTTATCTCTGTCTGAGGTGGTTCTGTTTTTCTGTCTCTAGAGGTTCTGTGTCTCTTTCTCTGGATATACTCTATGTTTCTGGAAGTTCAGTTTGTCTTTGTCTCTTTATATGCAATTTATCTCTGGTGGTTCTGTTTTTCGGTCTCTGGTGGTTCTCTTTTTCTGTCTCTAGAGGTTCCGTGTCTCTTACTCTGGAGTTCTTGCTTCTCTGTCTGTGGTTGTTCTGTTTCTCTGTGTCTCTGGAGCTTCAGTTTCTCTGTCTTCAGAGTGTCTATTTCCCTGGAAGTTACATTTATCTTTGTTTCTGGAGGTGCAGTTTGTCTATATCTGTGGTGGTTAAGTTTTGTTGTCTATGGAGGTTCCGTTTCTCTGTCTGTGGTGGTTATGTCTCCCTGACTCTAGAGATTATTTCTCTCTGTCTCTGAATGTTCATTTTCTCTGTCTCTGTATGCTCTATTTTTCTGTCTCTGGAGGTGCAGTTTGCCTCTGGTGGTTCTGTTTTTCTGTCTCTGGAGGTGCAGTTTGTCTCTGGCGGTTCTGTTTTTCTGTCTCTGGCGGTTCTGTTTTTCTATCTCTCGTGGTTCTGTTTCTCTGTCTGTGGTGGTTTTGTTTTCCTGTCTCCAGATGTTCTTTTTCTGTGTCTCTGAATATTTTTTTTTCTGTCTTTGGAGGTGCAGTTCCTCTGCCTTTGGTGGTTCTGTTTCTGTTTCTCTGGAGGTTCTGCATCACTGTCTCTGGAGTTTCCCTGTCTCTGGTGGTCCCATTTCTCTGTCTCTGAAGGTTCTATTTCTCTGTCAATATTCTGATATGTGGTTTTGTACTGTGTTGTTGTTGTTTAGTGAATATGACCCTAATGTCTGCCTTAGCTGATACACTGCTATGTTCTGTGTCTGGACTCCATCTGGGAGTGGATATGACATCACCACAATGGCGCTAGGTAAATGTAATGGTGGGTTTTGTACATTGTGTATTCCTTTTGCTATGTAAATAGTATGGACTCTGAACCATTTCTATGTTTATAACTGTGGTTAGCAGGACAGAGGGTTAGAAAAACATTAAAGGATAACCTCCCCATTCAATGATGGAGATCTGTAATGAACATTTGACGTACTGCTTTTCCAGGCTATATGACTTGTTTTGACGAGCCTATTGTGTTGCTGTGGATCACATTTGTGCATTGTAAATAAACGTTATTAATATTAATGCATTATATGAGCTGCATAAACTACTCTCCAAGTGACTTTTTTCTTGAACGTATTCGCCAAATTAGTGTTTCAACAGCAGCCCCGGTACTTTTATCTGTTCCTGATGGCCATTAGACTATATACAGTAACAATCGTAATCAGATCATTTGTAGGAGATTCCCATCTGCCATTTACTACAACAGCAGAACATCCCAAATTTGGGGCAGCCTTTCTTTTAATGTATTTGAATACTTTTATAAATGTGCTCACTGCCAACAAATCGCTTGTTTTAGGCTCTCAGCCTCCATAGAGTTTCGAGTATCACAAGCTACAGGATAGAGCGATCCCCGGTATCACTGGCTACAGGATAGAGTGATACCCGAAGTCACCAGCTACAGGATAGAGCGATACCCAGTATCACCAGCTACAGGATAGAGCAATACCCAGTATCACCAGCTACAGGATAGAGCGATACCTGGTATCACCAGCTACAGGATAGAGCGATACCCGGAATCACCTGCTACACGATAGAGTGATACCTGGTATCACCGGCTACAGGATAGAGTGATACCCGGTATCACCGGCTACAGGATAGAGCGTTACCCGGTATCACCAGCTACAGGATAGAGTGATACCCAGTATCACCAGCTACAGGATAGAGCGATACCCGGTATCACTAGCTACAGGATAAAGCGATACCCGGTATCACCAGTTACAGGATAGAGTGATACCCAGTATTACCAGCTACAGGATAGAGCAATACCCGGTATCACCAGTTACAGGATAGAGCGATACCCGGTATAACCAGCTACAGGATAGAGCGGTACCCGGTATTACCAGCTACAGGATACAGCGATACCCGGTATCACCAGTTACAGGATAGAGTGATAACCGGTATCACCGGCTACAGGATAGAGCGATACCCGGTATCACCAGCTACAGGATAGAGTGATACCCGGTATCACCGGCTACAGGATAGAGCGATACCCGGTATCACCGGCTACAGGATAGAGTGATACCCGGTATCACCGGCTACAGGATAGAGTGATAACCGGTATTACCAGCTACAGGATAGAGCGATACCAGGGATCACCAGCTACAGGATAGAGTGATACCCGGTATCACCGGCTACAGGATAGAGTGATAACCGGTATTACCAGCTACAGGATAAAGCGATACCCGGTATCACCAGTTACAGGATTGTACCCTACCTTTCACCATGTAATTTGTAAATATTCATCCTCCTCTATATCTGGCCGTCGGTACCTTATGTGGTGGGTCATTCCCTGTGAGAGGGACCGATGATCTAGGATATTTGTGAATCAGTAAATGGCAGCAAAAATTAATTGTCAGATATATCGATGGCGCTGTCGAATTCTGTCTAATTCAGTCAGTTCACCACTGCCATGTCTTATCTGAAATCAGGGGATGCCGCAGCGTCACAGTGGGCGTCTAATAGGAAGTGATTTAGCAGCTACATCCTACCCAAGTCATTAGCCGTGCAGCAGCCTTAAAGTAAAACGCTTTAAATCTCGCCATTCATTTTGCTGGGTTGAGTTCAGTAGCGTTCCCATGGGTGATTAGTCTTTAGAAGCAGCTGTGACAGGACTGATGAATTAGAGAACCCGCAAAGAAGAATGTTCTGATGCTTAAACAGATTAGACTTCCCCTCGGAGAACAGTAAACAACAAGTCAAAAATCAGCTCCTCAGCCTCGAAGGACTTCACTTCTTAAATGTTCAGAGCATCTGGAGTCATTGAGCAGCAGCTGATAACAAGGCCCGAGCATAATGACTAGTGGCTCCTTAAATTCACAGTTAGCCATTTAGATCACTAGTCACAGCTATCCAACACAGTAACTGTTTATACCTAGCTAACGTATTAAGCATATCACAAGCAGCCTGCCCAGTTATTAGTTCACAGATTGACGAAGCAATAACTATTTGCAACTAGCCAACAAGGGTCACTAGTTATCAGATAGCCAACACCGTTACTAGTTCACAACTATCCAGCACAGATACCCATTTACACCTCATAGAGTTCAATTAGTAGTTCACAACTATGCAGCACAGTTACGGTAGCTAGTATAGTATATGCTGGTCCATGCCGCTGTCCTCTCTCGCCTTGACTACCACAATCCGCTTCTCAGTGGTTCTTATGTGTTCCCATCTTGCCCCGTTACAATCTATAATGAACTCGTCGGCAAGGCTCATCTTTCTGCCCACCCACACCTCCCACACTTCACCCCTCTGTCAGTCCCTGCATTGGCTTCCCGTAAGATATAGGGCTCAATTTAAAATTCTGGATCTTGCTCGCAAATCTCTACACAATGCTGCTCCAACCTACCTATCCTCAAGTATGTCCCATCTAGGCCCCTACGTTCTGCCGAAGACCTACGTCTATCCTCTGTCCGTACTCCTACCTCTAATGCTCGATTTCAAGACTTCTCTAGGACTGCACGCCTCCTGTGGAACTCCCTTCCCTTCTCTGTTAGACATTCACCCAGTTACTAGTTTACAACCAGCCAGCACAGTTGCTAGTTTACAGTCAGCCAGTACACTTTCTAGTTTACAACCAGCCAGCACAGTTACTAGTTTAGTACATGCACATCCAGCTTTCTTTCATTAGTGTTACAAGTGCATATACATTTTAGTGTCCTGTCTGCCCATTTTTTGCATTTCAGTTAAAATTATATACCATCTGTATTCCTGACCTTTAGCTATGTCACGTAACCCCCTGGTGAACGAGTGACCCAGGCCTGCATTGTGTTAAATAACAATGAGTTTATGATTAGTGATTATATGATTGGAAACGGGTTGTGAAGAGCTTGTGATAGAATTCCCAGCGTCAGCGCGTACATTCCAACATTCCAATCAGGCTCAGGAAGAATGAGCCATCACAGCTCTAAGGAAGCCCATTAAAGCTTCCTATTCTATTATTTTAAAGGTATTAGGACAGTTCACTGCCAGTTTTAACTGCTCAGGGAATACGCACTATGTATAGAACCAATATAATACACAGTGTTTCTGTATTTTGTTTGTTAATACCTCTTGTCGGCTCTATAGATCGCTGGTTTCCAATATGTTGGGCACACGCTGGATTTACATTGGAATATAAGGCCGCCTGGGATATATGGTAATGTACAGGGTGGCATTTTGCTTCCTAATTTGTGTAAATGCACACAGATTGTGTTGTCATGATTCATCAGTGTTAATTATAAAGATATTGTTTGCAGGTTTGTGTATAGTCACCATAATTTCTGGGAACTCCAATATAAAGAAACTCTGTATCCACACACAGCCACATTGGTTCTCTATACAACACACCTGTACTTCCAGGGTTTGGCAGTTTGGTAAATGAGTTCATTGTTAGGGTGTATGAGGAGAATTTACAGCTTCTAGGGTGAACGGGTGAATGGGCAGATTCTCAGGATAGAAAAAGATTCTCAGGGTTCATCAACAAATTTATCATAAAAGATAAACTTTCAGCTTGAGTCCCGAAAATGGACAAAAACCCCAAATGATACTGAATAGCAGCTAATGCTACATTTCAAGGATAGGGAATTCCAAAACAGGCAGGAGTTCAAAGTAAAAAAAAACAACTTGCTACCCTGTTAGACTATGAGAGCTAGTAGATGTACATTTGGAAATGCACATCATGAATTATGATGCAAGTAGAAACACCACTGGGTGGGGGGCTGAGAGGCAGACTATATTTTAACATGACATAGGGAAAATGGTTTTGTGGAATTGGGGGGTTGTCAAGTGATACCAAGTTGGTGTACAGAGTCATTCTAGGTAGGTGTACAGAGTGATTCCAGGTAGGTACACGGAGTGATTCCAGGTAGATAAACGGAGTGATTCCAGGTAGATACAGAGTGATTGCAGGTAGATACACGGAGTGATTCCAGGTAGGTACACGGAGTGATTCCAGGTAGATACACGGAGTGATTCCAGGTAGGTACACGGAGTGATTCCAGGTAGATACACAGAGTGATTGCAGGTAGATACACGGAGTGATTCCAGGTAGATACACAGAGTGATTGCAGGTAGGTACACGGAGTGATTGCAGGTAGGTACAGAGATTGATTCCAGGTAGGTACACGGAGTGATTCCAGGTAGATACACAGAGTGATTCCAGGTAGATACACGGAGTGATTTCAGGTAGATACACGGAGTGATTCCAGGTAGATACACGGAGTGATTCCAGGTAGATACACGGAGTGATTCCAGGTAGATACACGGAGTGATTCCAGGTAGATTGATTCCAGGTAGATACACAGAGTGATTCTAGGTAGATACACGGAGTGATTCTAGGTAGATACACGGAGTGATTCTAGGTAGATACACGGAGTGATTCTAGGTAGATACACGGAGTGATTCCAGGTAGATACACAGAGTGATTCCAGGTAGATACACGGAGTGATTCCAGGTAGATACACGGATTGATTGCAGGTAGGTGTGTGCAAAGTGATTCTAGGTAGGTGTGTACAAAGTGATTCTAGGTGGGTGTACAGAGTGATTCTAGGTAGGTACACAGAGTA